AGTGCATCTAGGGCCAATAATAGATGAATTCCAAATTCAAACAGAATGGTAGTTTTTAATACCCTATCTTCAAGTACTATAAACAAATGACAGCAACCCATTTTCCTGTGGTATAATTTTCCATAATGATGGTGGATAAACTCTGGGAAGAAGATAACATAATCAAGGTATAAGATTATTCAGAAACCAGGCAACAGCAAGGGATGAAATCAAGCCTTCCCCTGAACTCCATTCCTGCTTCCTGACTTCACGGAAGCAAATCACTTAACTGAGTGTCATCAAATAAAACAGAACTCGAAAGTCAGAGCAATTACAGGAGGGAAATACTGAGAAGATTTAAATGTGTCGTAAAGCGAGACTCTGATCCTGATGCCACACTGTATATCAATTTAATGTTTCAATTTCAGCAGTTGTATCTCAGAAAACATACTGTAGAATCCAGAGTTCTGCCTATAGAAATTAGTACAACTCTTGTCAGTTACAGCCCATCATCTGTGTGAATCAAAGGGACTTTAGCAAAGTTTAAGTGTGCATGTGTACATTAAAAAGAAAATGGCTCCTAGCAGCTGTGAACAGGTGGCAAGAAATCCAAAAGATAGGGCTGTTGGGACATTAGACCTTAATGGAACATCAGTGACAATTGCAATTTAAATTATCTAGGAAAACAAAGGAGAATTCCCAGCCTCTTTCTTCATCTCAGAATTGATTTTATCTATGGAGATCATTTGGAAGTACTGATTTTTCATGAGTGCAAAGTTTTGCTTTATATCGTAGACTTGCTTAGATTTTTCTTCCATAGAGGTTGCTTTGTTTCTTACAGATTGCACTGTGGAAGATATTTGATATGTTACTCAGATATTATTCTTGTATCTTAGAAATTATCACTTAAACATGTCATACATGTTTAATATGTCAAGTGTTAAGATAGAATTTTCATTACCTTTATATTTTTTCAGACAAACTATTTTATATTTTTTTAGATATTACATATTTTGTTAGTATAGAGCCTGCATTAATTAATATTTATATACATACATATACATCATAGAATATATGGATATATTCTATGATAGCTCTATTGATTGTATTGTTAACTGAAATTATAAAACAAATACCTCTTTTCAGTCAGTATGATTGAACACACAAATGAAAAGCGTCACTACCACATTTGTATTTGATGTATTACAAGTCAAGCATTCATGTTAGATAACTGTAACCAGGACAAAATATTGGTGTGAAATCAGGCTATAATAACTTATGTCCCAGTACTGAAAGTCTTGGCTTCTTAGGGTCAAATTATGAAAGTATAAAATAAAATTTGCAGAGACAGAATCCTATTTCCATCTACAGAGAATGATTAGTACCCAGATCTTGAAAGTGGCTGAATGCCCCCACCACTGGGTTTGTCATCTTTAATGGAGACTGACTTCTAAGAACAGCATACCAGTAGAAATTTATTCTAACACTTTTCACACCAAGACTTATCTCACGTTTTTAAAGACTCTGTAAAGGCAGACGTGCCTTTTTCCATTATTGCCCTCATTTACAAATTCCAAACAAACATTTCCTAGAACTAATTTATATTTTCTTCAGGAGTTCTTAGAAAGAGATTGAAATATTAGCCATGGGAGAGGTCTTCTATGAGATTAAATTTTCTTCAATCTAGTTAAACAATGAGTAGTCAAAACACACACACACACACACACACACACACACAAGCAACAAACAAACAACAGAAAAAGAAAACTTTTGATAATATTGGTATTTTGTAGAAAGCCCTCATATCCTGTTAGCATATTTGTGGTCCAAATTATAAATAAAACTGCTATTAAAGAAATTGGGGTAAAGGCAATAAGGAAAATTGATGAAGAACATTGATGAAACAAGTAAATCAATTTCATAAAAAGGACGTTCCTGTGGCCAGTCCTCCCTCACAACCCCAGCAGACTACATAGAACAGGTGCCAATACACCAATCGCAAAAACAGGTAAGTGACTGGCTTCTCAGCTGAACTGCCCCAAAGTCCACAACCTAACCAAAACCCAGGGTACATCTCGTGTCCCTCCCTTCCCATCCCAGCACCTGCAAGGCAACTGAACCCTGTCCCCAGCTCTGGTAGAAATCCACTGCTCTGGTGCATTTCCCCACCAGCCTGCAGGTCACACACTGGAAATCTGTCCCTCCAAGACATACACTTCTTCACAACACCAGGGACCTGAACATTCTCCCTGTGGCCAGTCTGAAGATGAACGCTAAGAAGAAATCCCACACTAGCTCAGAATTGAGTATAATAAATGGTTATTTATTTAGGGGTAGACTCACAGATCACAGTTCTCTGCATGACCAGGGAAGAGGAACTGAATCCAGCTTGGAGAAGAGAGAGAGCAAGTACAGGCATTCCCCATGGATGCAGGTATAATAAAGGAGACCACGCCCAAGTTGACTGAAGAAGTTTCCACAACACCAGCCCTCCCCCACAACCCAAGAAGACAACTTTGGATAAATTTGTTCTTATGTATTTTAGAATAAATGTTTAAATTCATTTATATCAATATATTATTAAATTTTGTCAGTACTACAAAAAATACAAGGGTAAATTTCACTGATATTCTTAAGTGTAAATTCGCAGACATTATCTTAAAATTACAAGCTAATGGTTTCAGGTTGTAGTTTCCAAACTAAAATATTGCTGAAAACGCACAAACTTTTAAAAACTTCATACACAGCAAAATTTGTTAAGTTGCTCCCAAGTAAATAAATGAGAAAGTGAAAGTTATACACAATTTATTACTATCACACATGGTAATGCTCTAAGAAAAAAAAATATATTCTCTTTAAAAAGAAACTATAAAATATCTGCCTAGAAGATTAGCTTGTCTAATGAAGTGAAAGAGATTATTTTCAAGATAATGTATATGTGCTTGACATCCCTAGTCATCAAGAGAGTGTAAAGAGAAAATATGATGAAATAGATCTTGCACACACCAAAATAGCTATTATAACAATAATAAGAGGAATAAAGTACTATTAAAGATATATAAAAAGGGAAACCTTCATGTGCTACCAATATGAGTGTAAGCTATGAAAGATTCTCAGAAAGCAAAATAAAAGGGAACTTTCATGTGATTCAAAAACCTCAGTTATGAGTATAGAGAAAAATAACTGGAAGTAAGTAAGATAAAAGGCTTTCAGAATATCCTTGTTTTTTTTAAAACAGTGTTTACAATTGCAAAATATGAAAGCCTCTTCTGTGCTCAAAAAATTAAATTTTCTATGCCCAAAATATAGAACAACATTCAGTTTTTCAAAGTAATTTCTGTCATTGTAGCAACTTGATCCAGAATCTGATGAGCTAATTGAACTAAACAATGGGTAAAAGCAAATATTTAGGAATTGTTATTAGGGATTATTCTGTGTTCGCAAATTAGTAGTTATAGATTCTCCTCCAATAACTATAACTTCCCAAGCAGTGGGTAGATAGATTTCCAGCACCTGGCATGGTTTCCCTACTGTAGTTTGCATCTCATGTCCAATCACAAAGCTGTTGGTACCTTCAAGATATGGGTGCCACGACTTCACCTCTATGACTGTCATGCCATGCTAGTCACTGATGTGGTTCATAGAAATCATAGCTGGGCAGGATAGTTAGCTGCCTCCCTCCCTCTTTTGGAAACTTGCATGACTGCCTTCTTGTATGATAAAAACAATCTCAGGATGGGGGAATTCAGGTTAGTTTCAGCTCAGGAATATTAGGGTCATGTTTCAGAACGACATAGTATCACCAGCAAAAGCCTCTGGAGTGTAACCAAGACCCACAGCAAAAGGCTGTATGTTTTAGTAATGACTTTGACAAGCCAGGCCAAATTTCAGAGGGTTTTACCTGTATGGTATTCTGGATTTTGTTGTGTGGTATCTCTCTCTTGGAGGGAATAAAATTAATCAAGATGAAAAAAGTTCATTAAAACTCTCTATGTGAATTTTTTTTGAAAAACTTTGTATTACATATTTTCTTGTAAGTAGTTATTACCACAATTCATTATTATTTTTTTTATTTTTTGGATGTCCGTGCTGTTATTTTATTCTGTTTCTCTCCTTCTTCTGTATTTACCCTTTCTCCGTAAAGAGCTTTCTTTTTCTATTTTCACAAATGAGTGTAGTTTTCACCCACCATCAAGGAAACTTACATTTGCAATAGATGAAGACAACTAAAGAAAGCCATAACTAATCAAATGCAGATCCTAGTAGATATAGCCACAAAGCTTTCTGGTACCTAAGACTTGGGGAATATATTGGAAATTGGGTAGAAACATTCTTAGAGCATGGTGATCAGGGAATTTATGGTAAGATGATATAAGATTGTAATGTCAGAAGCTATACCCAAATGTGAGCTGTAAAAACAAAATAAAAATGATGTAAAAATGATGGAAAAGAGCCCAAGTGGCAACAACCCTTCAGAAGGAATTACAGACAAACGAAGGAAGTTTGGATTAAGTGATGAAAATGTAAATTAATCATATCGAGCTAATTCAGAATGTAAGCATTTGTCATAGAATTCCATTGTATTACACAAAAATATGCAATTATTGTTGCCTGAATATTGTTGCCACCCTTAACCCATCACAACCTATAGGCAAAACAGACTGTAGATCAAAGGTTATGTCGCTAGATGGTGTCCCAGTCCCTCCACTGGAAGTCTTTCCTGGTCACAGGAGATGAGCAGTTCAGGTTGGAGATCCCCTACTGATAGGAATCTCAGCTTGGGTTATCCCTGTAGATTTCTCCAACTTTCGCTTGTACCAGGTTTCTACGTGATCCTGACATGTCTTCCTTTTCAGTTGTGGTGCGGGAGAACTGTCTGTATTCTGTCAATCATGTTTTAAATAAACGCTGATTGGCCAGGCAGGAGGTGTAGGTGGGGAAACCAGACAGGAAGTGGAAATGACATAAGGAGAGCAGGCAAATTCTGGGGAGGAGGAAGTCGATTCCTCCCACTCCTGCCCAGATCACCGAAGCAGCAGGAAGTGAGCTGCCCCACTAAAAATGGTACTGAGCCACATGGCTAACATAGATCAGAAAAATGGATTAAAGAATATGTGAGAGTTAGCCAGTAAGAAGCCTGACCTAACGGGCCAATCAGCATTATAACTTATAGAGATTTCAGTGTGATTTTTCTCTGGGACTAAACAGCTGGGGGGCAGGGTGGGAAAGAAGCCCCAACAAGCAGGCCAGGCCAGCTCATGTTACAGAATGGCACCCACGTGGATAACTGTAGCCACCAAAAGCCTGAGAAATCTTGGGAAAAACTAGACTAAAGCTTTTCAGTTTTCAGCCATAGCAGGAAAAAAGCTGCACTGTTCTAAAATGCCAGCTTTCTGGGTGGTCCTGCCAGGGAAAACTCTTGACTTTCAAACAGGCAGTCCCGACTATGGATACAATGTTGCAGCTTGCTTCCTGGCAAGGACCTTGAAATGCCATAGGAGCTTTTGACTGTTGTCTTCTACATATTTCTTAGAAAATTAAAGACCCACATGGTCAAAAAAAAGAGAGATATACAGTAAAGAGAGATTCAAAGAGTAAGAAAACCTCTAAATGTTTTACAATGTGTTAAAAATATATGCAGGCTTGAAAGGAAAAAGGTTTAAAGCCTTAAAATAAAAAAGAAAGAAAGAGAGTAGTTGGGTGTGGTGGTACACACCTTTAATCCCAGCACTGGGGAGGCAGAGACAGATGAATCTCTGGGCGTTCAAAGATAGCCTGGTCTACAGAGGGAGTTCCAGGACAAAGATATGCAGAGAACCTGTCTCAATAAGCCCAAAGTTAAAAGTAAAAATAAAAGAAATAGAGGTTAAAATAAAGCCACATAAAGATGGAAAATACACAGAGAATCTTGATACTATATGCTATTATGCTCTCTTTGAATTGTTTAAATTCTGAGGAAGGAGCAACAGCTACTAAAAAATATTTGCTTATAAATGCTGCAGAATTAATCCAACATAGGTATTTTGAAAATACCTTGGCTTCAAAATTGAAGTCAAAATGTATGTTACTTTGGAGAAGAGATTTCGCTTTTGTTTTCAAAGAAAATGAGAAGCTCTGAGCCGCATGTGGTACTGAGCCACATGGCTAACATAGGTCAGAAAAATGGGTAAATCAAGATATGAGAGTTAGCCAGTAAGAAGCCTGACCTAACGGGCCAATCAGCATTAAGACTTATAGAGATCTCTTGTGTGATTTTACTTTGGGACTAAACAGCTGAGGGACCAGACAGGACAGAAATCTGAACAATCAGGTCCCCTCATGTTACACAGTTGTCTCTTTCAGTTATCCACCCCTTTATACCCTAAACCTGATTCTTCATATTCCCATCTTCACCTATCAAGCCTCTCACAAAATATCTCTTGAAGCATGAAGGACTCATGTATGTATATGATCCTGAGGTTTGGCACTCAATGAGAAGTCAATAACAAGGAGTCTGTGAGAGAGAAGAGTTGAAGCTTGGCACCATGTGACAGTGTTAGACTCCCTGAAAGGTTACTGATGAGAGTACAGCACAGCTGCAGAGACTTCAGCATTTTGGAGAAGCCCTAACATGAGATGACCAAGACCATTAGAAACCATAGATTTTAAGTAGCCTGACCTTAGTATGCCCAAGAAATATAACGGTCCAAACCCTTTGAAGGTCAGAAGACAGTGAAGGAATCCCAGACACTGTACACAGATATTTATACTGCTGGAGTTTAGTTTTGCTTTGTTCTGATTGCGACTATGCCTTGGTTATTCCCTCTTGAAGCAGAAATTTATTTAACTTCTTTTTATTTTGATTTTATAGGAGCCTAGAGTTAAGATACTTTTAATTTTAGAGAGATTTTTGAGTTTTCCAGAGATTTCAGAATTCAATATAGACTATGAATATTTTAGAGGTTTTGAGTTTTTTCAAAGATGTTTGAATTTTCAATGATTTAAAGAGAAGGAAGATTTAATGTTATGACTTTATGACTTAAAAACTGGAATATTTTATATTATCTTAGTAAAATTAGCATGACATATGGGGATGTCTCAAAAATGGAAAACTTCAGTATTCTACATAGTTCAATATGGTGTTGTAGCACTGTGGTTGTATGTCAAGTTGCTAAGGCATGAATTGCTTTGAACAGCTTTATGTCAATTTGAAACTAGCCACAGTCATTTGTGAAGAAGTAACTTCCACTGAGAAATTGCCCATACCAGATTAACTAATGGGACAGCTGGGATACCTTTTCTTGTTAGATGTTTGCTGTGAGAAGATTTAGTTCAATATTGAGGGCGGGTACTACACATCCATGGGCTGTTACAGTCCTGAGAGCTGGGGAAAATCAGGCTGAACAAGTCTGGGAGAGCAATCTAGAAAGGAGCACTCCTTCAGAGCCCCTGCATCAGCTCTTGCCTTCAGGTCCCTGCCGTGTTTGAGCTTCTACCTGACTTACCTTAGCAGTGTGTCACGTGAGTGTTGTGAGCTGAAATAAACCATCTGCTCCCCAACTTGTTGATATTAATAGTATTTTGTCACAGTAATAGAAAACTGAACTTAGAAATACATTAAATTTGTATATCATTTTTCGTGGTCAGGAGATTTGTATGACCTTGATTTATGAATCATGGAATAATTTCATTTTCTTTATTTTTGAAATGTATTCAAATTTGCAGAATTTGAATCTTTCACCTGTTTTATAAAGCTTATCTATAAGCATTTTTAAAGCTATTGTAAATGAAGTTTTCTTTTTATTTCATTTTCAGTTAGTTTGTTATTATTATAATTAATTTTTGTATGACAGATTTATTTCTTGATACTATATCCAATTAATGTATCAGCTTTTGCTGTTATGTTTTGTTGCTGATAGAGTCTTAAGTTTGTGCTTTTAATCATATTTTCCACAAGTGGAGAAACCTTTTTCTTCTTCTCTGATTTGGGCACTTTTCATGTCTTTCACCTGCCTAATTTCTCTGATTAGAATTATATGTGAAATAGTAAATACAAGTGATGACTGTTGATACTGGGCTCAACAACATTGCATTTTGATCAGTAGTGGTTTTCTGTAGTGGCCTCTGTCTTTGAAAAGAAAAAAACTTTCCTTCGTAGGTGGGGGCTACACTTTTCTGTGGGTATGAAAACAAGATAGAATGTAGAGGGGTGTCCATTAACCACATAACTCTTGTACCTAAGGTCAGCCAACATTGGAGAAAAATTGCAAGAGTCATAGGAACAATGTAGTTACTGTGGGACTATGTCTCCTAAAACTGTGAGAAGTAACACCTGCAAAGTCTTGTCAACACAGCTTCCCAAGCATGCCTAGAACGAAAATGATAGGAATGAGAGTGCTAATGTGGATGTGGACACAAGTAAGCCTCAAGCTATGCAAAGAACTATAGGCAACAAAGGAATGTTACAAGCAGGAGAGATTCCTTCCCAGGAACAGCACAACAATTGGGTATAAAAAATCTAAATGGCCAGACCTGAAAACATTATGTAATATAAATAGCACTATACAAACTAGGGAGGCTCAACTTATGTATTTGTGAATACACACACATACACACAAACACCACCATCACCAATAACTTCATCAAGAAATAAAGAAAAAGGGCCAAGAATTTGAAAAAGCACAAAGTAAATATATGGTAAAGGAGGGTCTGAGTGGAGGAAAAAGAAGAGTGAAATTAGGTATTTACACTCTAATCTCAAACTATTTTTAAAAGTGAAGACATTAGTCTCTGTTGCATTGTTATTAATATGAATTCATTGTATATACATATATATGTACAATAGTACACATGAACTTCCCATATATTACCTTTAATACCTTTTACTTTCTTTTTTTAAAAGTCTCCACCACAATGATATTCAGGGTGTCAGAAAAACAAAGATATAAAATACGTGAGGGGTAAAATTGTTAACTCACAAAGACAAAAATATCAGAATAGCATCGCTTTTCTTGTTAGCAGTTCTGACGTTCAGGAGAGCATGCTATGATATTTCAGCCTCTGAAAACAGACTACTGTATTTTGTCAATCAATTGTGTTTAAAATTTTTGTCATGAAAATACGTTGCATTTTGACAAATGTTTTCCCTGAATCCATTGAAGTAATTATACAATTTCAGTCTTTTTCATGCTGTTGAAATATTATATCAAATATATGAATTATCCTGTGTGTGTAAATCTCTATTCCAAACTAGCAATAATCAAGGTAAGTGATCTTTTCATTTTAATATTCCATTCTTATTGCTTGTATGTTTGGGAATATTTCTTTTCTATTTGTGCTTATTAGCAATATTGTCATGTTGCTTTTCTTTCTCAAAGTGTCCATATATAAGGAACTGAACCTCATTTCCTGAACAATTATTCACTGTAAGTCATTAAAGCAAGAGGGAATCCAACACTGGCTAATACTGATAGCTATATTATGAATTTTATATTTTAAATTTTCTGTTCCCTTTATTCATTTAGCCATCCAGTGTGATTTTTTTATATATTTTGGTCTGCAAGGCAATTAATTACATTAAGTTATCAGTTGCTATTCATCTCTATAGGCTTTTTAAAATATTAATTCTCTCTTTCCTGCTCCTCTGTGTGTTACTTCATAGGTAAATGCTTGATTCCATTTTAGATTCCTTCAGCCATTTATACCTGTTACAGCTTTCAATTTATGATACTATGGAACTCCATAAGAACTCTTAGAGTTACATTATCTCATTTTAAACTAACAAAAATATATAAAAAACTATTTTATATATTTTTGCTTAGAAATAATGTTAAATTGAAACCCTTGATAATTTTACTGGCTAGTAAACGATGACTTTGGTAGTTTAAACTATTAAATCCAAGTTTAAAGACACATATTTGCTAGCATTGTAACAGACCATCTTTGCTCTATTTTGTTTTTTATGAATTTTTAATCATTTCTGGAAAGTTTTAAATATTTATATGCTCTTATATTATTAATCAGCATTGTTTTATTTCTACTTATACAACATTGTTAGCACTCTTTATATGGAGGTCCTATTGTGA